GACTCCAACCAGGGAGCAGTGACGCTCCAACTGAGGCCAGCTCAGAAGTGAGCTCCTTTATTCCTCTCGACCAAGTCATCGCTTGGCCCCCTCTCTTCTTCTTCCATCCACACCCGCGTCGCGCAAACAACGCACGTCGCGGGAGTCGGTGGGCTGGCATGCGCAACACGTGGCAGAATTATCGGAGCCTGGTGTGTGAAATAACGGTACTGAGCGGTTCAGTTCCTTTTCCTTTGCCGTAAACAAGGCGTCGAACACGCGGTGTTCCCACCAGATGTGAGCTAACTTGCAAGGTACCGGTGGTCGAACGTAACTAGCCTCTTTATATCCGCCGATCTTAGAGGCCAGGTTTCACAACCGTACAGTAAGGTCGAACGTACTGCTGCATCGTACACTCTAACCTTCAGGGCGAGTGTGATGTCGCGCCACCGCCATAGGTGGCGAAGATTAGCAAAAGCGTCTCGAGCTTCTGCTATACGGTTCGTGACCTCATCTTCAATCCCAAAGGCGCTGATACAACTTCCCAAGTAGTTGAATTTGTGAACGACTTCTAGCAGATCCCCACCAAGGGTCAGCGCAGGAGGCGATCCAGGTCAATCTTAGATGAACCCTTTGCACTTCGATGGTGTGAAGTAAAGCTCGATGCAGCTGACAGCCAGTGCGAATCTGTCCAGTGCTGCTTGGCACGTCTGGGAGCTGTCATAGATGAGGGCAATGTCGTCTGCATACTCCAAGTCAAGAAGTCGTTCTCCTGGGAGCAGATCCACACATTCGAAGTCGTGTCCTGTACATGCAATCCCCATGCCTTCGTTAATAGTGAAGTTGAAGAGGGAGGGTGCCAACGGGCATCGTTGTCTCACACCGCTTGAGATATTGAAGGGTGGCGACAGCTTGCCGTAAGCCCTCACTCTGCCTGAGCTACGCGCGTATTTACTCGGATCATATTTACGTATTTCTCGGACACACGTTTCCTGAGTAAACAATTCCAAAGGGCACATCGATCAACCGAATCGAAGGCACCTATGATATCGAGGAACACGATAACGGTGGGTCGCCAATGTATGTGTCGTTGCTGCAACAACTGACGCAAACTGAAGATGTGGTCAATGCACCCACCACCCCGACGAAATCCGGCTTACTCTTCACGAATATGGCTTTCACTATTCCCAGCCAGTCTGCGAAGGATGACAGAGGCAAGCAATTTGGAGACGATGGAAATCAGACTGATTCCTCTATGACTGCCGTATTCCGAAGGTGAGCCTCCTTTGAAGATGGAAACAATAACGGACCGGCTACAGTCGGTTGGGACAGTTTCCTTCTCCCACAGTTTCACTAGTAACTGGTATCAATCATCCGCCGGATCAGGTGTCCCGAATTTTAGGAGGGCTGGAGGTGAATCACCTGGTCTCGCGGCTTTATTTAACTTCAACCGTGTGATCTCAGGTTCGACATCTGAGCGAAAGGGTGGATCTAAAGAAACGACACAGGGAGCGAGGTGGTCAGTGGCCGGCGAGAAAGCTATCGATGCCTACGGATTAAATTGCCTTTAAAAGTGCTCAGCCCAAGGCTCCAAACGGTTGGATAAGTTGTGGCTAGGCTGTCCAGTCTCGTCACGTATAGTTTCACTAACACCAGGTCTCCTGCTGCCCATTTCCCGTATCCAACGGAATAACTTACGATGGTTACCAAGGGCAGTGGCCATTCCATCTCTGATGCACGGTGAGCCCACCAGGATTTGCGGTCTACCTTCAGGCTAGCACGGTTTCTTGCCCGGAGCTCTTGACGAGTTTCATTGTGTTTACTTCCAGCCGGGTTATGCCGACGAGCAGCGATAAGTTCCAGAGACGGCGAAGAGACCCAATGTCCACGTTGGCGATTAGACTTATCACATAAGGATTTTCCTGCTGTTAGTAACGACTGGTGAATATGAGACCAGTTAGCTTCAACTGCATTCAGTGAGGGCTTACTCAACACGTATCACAGCGTACTTTGATAGGCATTCAGAACAGTTGGCTTTGTCAGTTGGCTGGTGTCAATGCGCTCATAACGTCGTCATGCGCGTCCGCAAAACGCATCTGCAGGTCAGCACATACAAGTGCATGATCGGTGTCCATACATGTGCTCCGAATCTAGTGACAATTTTGGACGCAGCCTCTCCACCGGTAACTTATCGCAATGCGATCGATTTTCGTCCATGGCTGCTTCGAGACTGGTGTACGCCAAGTCACCCTCCGGCGGATTTTGTGTTGAACATTCGTGCTAGCAAGAAATAAGCGGAATCTTCACACAAATGAAGTATCCGCTTACCGTTATCATTACGGGAGCCAACACCATGTTGGCCGCCCAGATGCAGTTCATCAGTGGATAATTTTCCAGCTTTAATGTTCAAATCCCCAGGCAGCACCATATTGTCCGAGATTCTTCTGTGGCGAAGGAGCTCGTTCAATTGGCGATAGAAGTCGTCTTATACCGAATCATCGCTAGCTTTTGTGGGTGCATAGGCAGCGATGACGAATAGAGACCTGTTTGTCCCGCACGACTTCAAAGCTTTGAACGAGTCAGCCAATCAGACCGCACACCACCGGCTACTGATTGGAATCCAGTCAACCAGCGAAGCTTCAGTCCGGGGACTCAGGGCAATGCTAACACCAGCTTGCCGGTGCTCGAAGCTGCATCGTCACCGGATAGGCGCAATGAGCAACTGATGTCACCTGAAGGGAACGGCAAAGTGAGCACAGAGCTCGAGCCTTGCAGGCGGGTTTCCGATAAGTAGCGGATATCGATCGAGAGGATATCCATTGTTCGGACAAGTGCTGCCTGTTGTCCGATCTTTAACAATGTGCGTACATTGAGTCATGCCAATCTGAAGGAGGATCACGGGCTGCAATTGGAAGTCGATGAACTGGGTTTGGGTGTTCAGTTGGAAATGGGCTCGTCTACAAGAGAGGAATGACGCTGCGCGTTCACATGTGACTTGAAACTAGAAGGTAAAATCCTAGCAAAGCAAGATGCTCGAGGGCCAAGACTTGGGGGGTTGGGAACAGGGGGATGAAAGTGAAGCTGGAACGGGACAGTAAGAGAGAAAAATCGTAAGAGGGGAATAAACATATTCGTAAGACTGAGCAATAGCATCCAAATCCCTATCCACCCTGCTCGATGCAGCAGACAGGTCACCGGTGATTATCCCTTGCAGTGGCAAGAGCATAAAGAAACTGGTTGAAGATGGATTCATTGTATTGCGTGCACAGGATACTGTCAGGTTGCCCAGGCCTAGACAGGAGAACGATTAGGGTTCTCAAACAAAGTCATTGGTTCAAAAGCTTACCGCAAGGCAGCGGGTTTGGCGTTGGGCTACAAGGAGTCCGTGTTAAGGAATAAGGAGCCCCCTCATTCCAACCCATGAGGCTAAATTTGTCTGGCCTCTAACCGTTGACCAATCTGGTATGAGTGGCTCTGAAGGTGCAAAAATCGCACCACCCAGCATAGCTACACGGATCGCTGAGGCACACAAACCATAGCACCACGGTAAGTTCCAGCCTCATTGCGATGGAGTGCTTTGCGCACAGGCATACGATGGCATTGGTGGACAATCGCACGAGTGGTGGTACTGGGACTTCGGAGGTTTTCTTGGGTGACTCCATCCTGATCCTTTGGCTCAATAGCCTGACCAACAAGGCAGTGGGTGGCATGGAAGTTTGCTTGAGGGACTCCGCCCGGAGTCTTTGGCTCAATAGCCTGACCAACAAGGCAGTGGGTGGTATGGAAGTTTGCTTGAGGGACTCCGCCCGGAGTCTTTGGCTCAATAGCCTGACCCATAAGGCGTTGGGTTGTATGGATGTTTGCATGGTAAAGAACAATCCGTGTCGAAGCTGTATGCAATCAAGCGCGTCCCCAGGTTGAGGATGCCTTCTTTGTGAAGGTAACTACGTATAAGTTTCATCTGTTTTGCAGGCGAAATGAATAAGCCGTCGCGGACAATCAGCGGTGGCGTCTCAGAGCGTGGGGAGTTCTGGGCTGGTCACCTGGTTCGTCATCAAATATCACAAGAACTCGTACGGCGCTGTGTCAAAGTCAACGTGACCGGCTATGGGGTCACTGACCACTCACTTCTGTAAGCAGAGGTGAGTACCTAACGGAGGACAGATGAACATACTTGGCAGCCACCTGCTTCTCTGTGATTTGCCACCAACACAAAGAAGGCGAATGAGCCACCCGACGGTCAACGGTTTTCGTTAATCACCCCCGCTACCCTGCCGGTCAGATACTTAATAACAAACGTTGCGATGCGGTACCTTAAGTCAACCCCATTCCTCAGTGTTTACAACCGGGAAGATCTCTGCCCACACAACGCATAAATCTTCTGAATCTTTTTAACCCTTCTACTAACTACCTGTTTTCCCCGTTTTTTATTGATAACTGTGTTGTGACATTGCCAATTGAAGATTGGTCAAGACTTGAACAAGATACTGTAATAATAGTTATGGTAAAGAACAAACACCAAAGAACGATCACACGACAAATTCACCGCAGACAATCGGACCTCAACATGCGCCCTAAGGAAGCACCAGACAGCCGCGTGTCGAACTCAAGTTCAACGATGCCTGTACAGGAATCAACTGATGCACACGAATATGTGCATATCGGAGAAGATAATTCGGAACGGCGTCAACAGCTTAGAGGAATGAGGTGTAGAAGGGTGCAATGGTTACATTTGCACACTTCTGAACGTATTACAAATTAGGCGGCATTCCCCTCCGCAGTGGTGATCACACTAACATTCCTATGCACCGCATAATCGAGCCACAGAGACAAGCAAGACTAAGACAATCACTGTTAAGTAGTTCGAGACGAGAAGCCCCAAGGGTCACCAGACGAAGCAAAAACACGGAACAGCGAAAGTCCAGTGGGGGATGAATTGGCGCAATACGACTATCAGATTAAAGAATAACCACAGAAACTAAGTGGCATAACGAGAAAGCGATTAGAAAGAGGTTGTGTTCATCGGTAGACTGCAGGGGGTGGTGCAAAAGTTTAGATTTTGATCTCCACATCTTTTGACCAGGGAATAATGCGACGGTCGGAGACGAACTCGTTTATTGGTTCCTTCACACCAATTGGAAGAGTGGCCAAGTAAAACGGAGTGTCAGCACCTAGGCAGAAAAGTGTGAGATAAGCGACAGAATTACGCCCTGTGACCCCAAGAAAAGACAAGCAGGTGTGCATTACTATGAATGAATAGCAATGCGTAGGCAACTTATCTGTTTGCATAAAAAATGAAGGGAGATCCAGGAATTGGAAACAATCGTGGCTTGTGTATGGTGTCATAAGGGACCTGGTAAAAGTCACGCGGAACCCTCTATAAGGGCATCATAATAGTATTCCCCAGATCATAACCTTTATGTATACTGCATTATTGAACTGAGATTCTGCGTGAATACAAATACGTATTCGCAGTACTAACTCATTCATAACCAATTTTTGTCAGAGATCTCCCATAGACCTTCACTTACTATTGATGTATTTATGGAGAAGTCAAACCAGGAGCGTTTAAATTGGCCATTGCCTTTTCGCTGAAAGTCATTTGGACGCTATCTACTGCAGATATATCAGTATATTTTGCCAACTTCATTGTTCGAACTACTTGTACGGCCACTGAAACCGTTTTGCTTTTTAATATTGTAAACAGTAAATCGATATATTGCGCATGATCGGCGATTCGTTGCTCTTGGCCAAGTGTGGATTGTTTAGCAAAACGAAACCCTGGGGAGTAGGTATATTTACAGAGGATTCTGTTCAGTCAAGTGCGATCGTTATTTGCTCGAGTTAAAACAGTGCAATACATGTGCAACCTCAATCCATCTGCAGTTGATAAAGCAAAATTCTAAAAAGCACCCATCCGAGTAGCTAAATCTTAGATTAAATTGACTTGAAAATGACTCTTTCTTCAAGTTCGCAAACGTGACAAATTACAAATATCCTCAGGCGTTTACAATAACAAAATGGTAGGGCAGAACGAGGTGGGAATAGTGGAATCACGACAAACAGAAACGCAAATGTCTTGATCAATTAAGTTAACTAACAACTAATGTGACAGAGCACGTGTTACTTGATCGGTGGAATGCCAAGCGCGTCACCTGATCACTGTAGGCGCACGAAGTGATAGAATTTGATAAGCTAACTAGGGCCAAGGTAGAAGAAGCCCTTTCAGAAAAGCCTTTTGTTTGCATAATTCCTGTTTAATTCTCCTAATTGCGAACGCTTCGGCCGTCCATAAGATTTGCTTAATAAGACCATTAGCATACCGTTGCTGTACTACATAAAGTACTTGGAAGATATCAGCATTCCTCTTAATCTGGTGTCCGCTTTCCACCAGATGTTACAAGATGGAACCGTCCTTCATAGGGACAGTAGTAATCACTTCATGGCTATCACGGATCACTGCACACTTCTTGTTGAATGGTGTCGGGTAACCGTTATCTTGCAGCGTTTTGAGATTAAGGATCTTTCCGACCTCTAGCGTTTCTTGGCTTCACATTTTCGTAGCACGAAAATACAAGCAGTGAACAAGATCACGTTTGTATTTCAAGGGTATAAAGCTTCGAAAATGTGTATATTGGCCTATCCGTGTAGTCTTTCCGAATACATTTCTTTCTAACGAACCGTCATTTCTTCGGTTTAGCAACATGTTCAAAACCGCTAGCTTTCCATCACTATCGAAATATAGTGAAGTTCAACGATGGAGGAACACCGTTTGACTGGTTTAACAGTTTCAAAATAACGGTGTTTGAATCGCAGATTGTAAACGTATCATCCATATAACGACGGTAGGAATTAAAGGATTTTCTGCTGGGTCGTATGTCTTCACCCTCAATCATAGCGATTAAAATATCAGCAAGGATTGGTCCTACTGGTGACCCGGTCGTGACACCTTCAACTTGTCTGTAGTGGACTACATTAAATGAGAAGCATCGGTTGAAGGTACATGTTAAAATTAATTCCCTTAGTTTCGTCCCAGGAATACCCACATCTATGTTATTTCGTATACTTAATCACACAAAATTGACAGTTTTCACCAACGAAAAATTAGTAAAAAATGACTCATCGTCCAGAGACAGCATCAATTTATCATTTACTTTCATGCTTTTTACTCTTTTCACAAATCCAAATGTGTCTTTCACGGTGTATATCCATAGTTCCTTGAGTACTGGTCCGAGCAAACCGACAAGCCATTTCGAATCCGAGTGAGCATATGAGGCTGACATGTCGATTATCGGACGCAGAGGAACTTGTGGTTTATGTTGTTTCGTCTCGCCTTCCGGGCGGAAGTCCATGTGATTCGCTTTGTGCTTGCCTCGAAAGTTTACAGGACCTGGCTGGTAATCCACAACAGTGGCGTGTCTGCTGACGTCTCATAGTCGGATTGCCTGTTTAAAGTGTGTTTAATGCTGAGTCATCTGCGGTGTGATGACTGATTATCACGCAGGGAATTAATGTTGTCAATTTCGGTATCGGTGGACGAAATTCGTTTGGTCCATACGTCTGAGTACTGGTTCCACAGCACAAAGTAGTGATGGATCTCCCTGAGGGTAGGAACTTTGACTGCAGCGGTCCGACTAGGTTCAAGAGTACAAACTATCAATGTAGACACTGTGGATCAAGTGGATTGCTTAGTAAGCTATCGAGCACTGTTCGACTAAGCACTGGCATCTTGCAAAGGAATGCATCTAAACGCTGAACTGGCTAGCATGACGACAACAAAGTCTCAACAGCAATGGCCAAGACATTTCCAGCCACCAAACTAGAACTACTTGCCGAAACATGACCATTGCTTTTTCCGCGATTAAAGGATGAACTCCCGGTTCGGTCCGGATCGTTCACCTGCATCTGTGGCAGTATTTTGCTTGAACGTATGACTAGGTGTTTGTCCAAAAGAATTGTTGGACGCTGTCCCGCGTCACCACGAAAAGGCATTGTAAATTCCATCAACAGTTCGGTTTTACAACACTTGGTTGACACTGGACATCAAATCCAAATGAACAAGCCATTTCTACCGTTCCTAAGCGCTATTCGAAACGGCTTGCAAAACATCTGTTGACAAAAAAGTGCCGTTTGATATGGCACATAATTGCGCAGACTACAGTACAACCATAATGCGCAATACAGCCGCGATGGCTATTGCTGGTATTCAGATGTCAATTCAGAGCGGTGGGGATACGATGAAGTGGGATTCACAAGACAGCCAACTGGCAGGCCTTAATCTTAGGAGTCCATGCATCAGATATGAATGCACGATCCGAGCTATAGAGACAATGTTTATTGATGCATACGAAAGGCGAATGCAAACTATATTTGGCTGGGGCCAACAGATAAGATTTAATATTACCACACCGAAGTACATGATCCTCGTATTGGTGCGCCAAGCGAAGTCGGTTTCCTCGCTAAGGCCGCAGAGTGACCGATACATGGGCACACACTAAGGCATGATGGGAATTTACACCGGTGGTACAAACGAGCCAATAATTCTGAACGGATAATTGCCACCTATAGATGACGGTAATACGGTTTGTGGGTCGTTCGCCATTTCTAGGTAGTATTGCTGACCTGAAATTGGTGAGGACATGCAGTGAAACGGCGACACGGTGTCTTCTGACATTGTGCATTAATAACATTGATACAACATTCAAAGCCATACGTAAACGTGGGGCTGTTTGTTAAGATCTATTTGCGAATAATGTATTCAGCCTCTCTGACACCGTGGGCAGGTCTAGCTACCGACTCGGTGTCAACTGATGTGAAAGCTATGGATATTAATCAGATCAATTGCAGGTTGGTTGAAATGTTGTATGGTTATAAATGCGATTCGCTGGGAAAAATAGATTTATTCTGATTATGGAGTGGGCGCCAGCAATTTTTTGTACACTGATCTGACATACCAAGTGGAAGTACGAAAGTGCGAAGTACAACGGGGTATTTGGTTGCAAAGGATGTGACATCCGCTTGGTAATCAAGTAAAGATATGCACGAGACGAGTAGAAAAGTAGCAATGGCAACAGTTTGTGACAATGCACTATTTGGCCAATTAATCCAAGGCCTTTAATAGGGGATAATACAAAAAACCAAAATCCGTTTTTAGATGTATGATACACAAGCGAAATGGAGAATCTGCTCATAAATAAGTAAAAGCACTGACGAATTTACCTTGTTCTATTGTTTTCGTGCCCTTGTGATCAGTCAAGTCAGTGGCAACGTAACCTGGACAGCACTGTGAAGCGAAATGGGAAAAGTGTACATTCGGCTAAATTGAATATAGCTATTAGAATAGGGGAACAACGATGGACGACAGTGGTGACAGCGGGGAACAGCGAGCATGTGTTTGCCTTAGATACAAGTCGCAAAGGATTGATAGTGTCTGAGACTCCGCGTTACAAAGCATAAACATGATGAAAAGCACGACAAAAGTCAACAACAAGTTTCCAACCGTGATGACAAGCGTTGTTTGCAGAACTCAATGACTTAGGGAAGAAGGCTTGTCAGCCAATCATTTCACGACCTACCGAGTTCGGATCGCGGCTCTGTTGCCTCCACCTAAAGAGTATAAACAGGGGTGCAAAACCGGCGGTTGAATGCAGCGTTTAGAGTGGGAACTGATAAACAATAACAAAATGTTTTCAGCTGTACGCCGTAGCGGCGCTTCGCTGCCGCGCGTGGGCTGATTACACCGCGAGAACGTCCGCCCCTAAGCGGATTCGAACCAATGACCTTATGACTGCAAGCCAGACGTGCAGACCATTCGGCCACCGGCCAAGGAATCGTTGTAATCTAAGCCACACGGTGACAAAGGTCAAGATCAATTAAAAACGAAGGGATGAATCACAAAGCGGTCATGCAAAATATGTTCCAAAAATAACTTAGAGTTTAGGTGTAGGATTACAGCAAAATCAATAATGCTGTTGAGAATGGGTGTACACGAGCCAACAGGACAGGGTCGAACCGAACAGACGCACTTGTCAGTTACATTGTTTGTCCGTCCGTAGGTCGCAAAACCTGCTCTCGCCAAAAGTATCCATACACAACACACAATGAGATCGGCGATGTACAAACATGAGAACGCAATGCAAGCTGGCTACACCTTACAGACATACAAAACAGTCTGCTAAAATGCCACGAGTCTTATTCCTCGACAATAACGGGTCGAGTTCAGCAATACGATCTCATCTACAAGGCCATTATATACGGGTAATAATCCGTATATCTCAATCACTAGAAACGCGTGGTCACTTAGACACTGAAGAGTACAACGTCCTAGTCGCCAGGTGACAAAACCTTACCAAGGGATAGGTTCGTTTATCACATCCAGGAGCGGAGGCAAATGTGGCGAGTTTAAGCTACCGTTTCATCAAAGTGTGCACAGTAAAATGAGAACGTGATTTACTTTCTATAAAGTAGCTATGAAAGAACAATTGCAAACATAAAATCGTATAATAAAACGACTCGATATCAGCAACCTAACGAACAATGACAAGGATTAAATGGTCAATTGAGTTGAAGCTACCCAAAGACGGGTGACAGTAACGTTTGTGATTCTGATCGAGTTTGTAAATACTAATAATAATGTATATTCGCGATTTTACGAGGCGTGCACTATTCTGCATGATCATATTTTTTACAATTGCTTTGTATAGTTTAGCAGCATATTCCATATGTCAGACATAAGTGTTTTTTATCTGCCAGGGTTTTGTAGTTCACAGCCTTGTTTGGGCGCAGAATATATCATGGCGTCCTGACGGAGATCTCCTTGTGCGGACGGAACCGAGTTTTCATTTCCTTGAGCAAAGGATGCGAAGCAATTTTGATGATAGGAAAAGATTAAAGCGGAAATCATATCATGTAAACAAAGCATGTGCTGTCAATAAATCATTATTTAGTAGATATTATGACTTTATAGTAAGGTTGGTGAAAGACGGGGGTATTAATATATTCTGATTTCAGCAGCTGCACATATGTGCCGAGACAGATGGAATGGGAGATTTATCTGTTGTGGTTAAGGTGAAGATGAATGACATTTGTCAAGTGGCGTAGGTATTTTGCTATAACTGTAAGCTAGGCGTAAGCGAGTAAGAGGAAAATGAGAGAATTTTTTGAAATAGTGGTGATGTTGTTAGCAGAACCGGTTAGCTTCACCGTGATGCCCGACATGTTTACATGAGAGCAACATAGAAAGCATAGAGGAGTAAGAGAAGAACGAATGGTAAAAGTGAATGAAGATGGATAGATTCAGTCAGGATTTCCATATCAGCTCACACTTTTTGTTATGGCTGCAATGCAGGCGTGGCTGAGTAAGCAGAATATGAAGCAGTGGAGACAAAAATGGTTATCTCAATCTCAGTTCGCAATTCTTCTGCAGACCACACTGGTTTGGGTGTTTGTGACTTATGGTTTTCCGAGTAAAGAAGGAAAGTGAGTCGGATAAAGAAGAGGAAAGGGACTTCTGGCAACAATATATCTCTATTTCAACACACCTGCTCAGGAGGGCTTGACCAATTGAACGCAATGTAGGTAGAACACTTCAAGTATATTTGTCATCAACGCAGTTACGTCTCAGCCTCCACTTCAAATAACACTTTTTCATTGCAATTTAGTTGCAACATTATTTTTACGTATTGCACCGTCAAGCACTTTGACACTGCTCTTTTAAACAGCGGTTGCTAGTCGCATGCTCTTATTTCAATGGAGAGGCTGTTCCTGATCTCAGTGTATCTGTATAGGAAGAATTTTCTACGGACATAAATTTTTGTTTTGGACACCGGTAGTTTGTCCTTGGTATTTCCAGTTGCGTAACTAGGTTCTTTATCGAAGTGTATATTGATATTTGGCACGAAAACGCGCTCATGGATCAAATCAAATAGGAATCTTAATCCAAACTTCATGCGTCTTAGCCACAGTGGCTCCAGTTGGAGTATCTTACAACGTTCAGATTAGTTAAGTTAGACGAAGAGTTAAAGACAGCCTTTGTGAATGATCTCTGCACGTTTTCCAGGCACTTGCAGTCACGTTTTCTGCTGCTGTTGAAGAAAGGTGAACAGTACTCTAGTACAGGGCGAACGCAGGCCTTTAAACATTGCAGTTTAGGTTCACGCATCGAAAATGATTTTAAGAAATGTTTTGCTTTTCTTCGGGATCTTGCCGTTATGAATTCAGCTTGTTCACCAGAATTCAAATTTACAGAGGAGTAGCATGGGAGTTGAATTCATCACATCTAGACTCACTCAGACAGCCATCAAACGCCCAGCAAAGCATTGTAAGCGCATTTCATCATTTCGGGAATCGTCAACAGTGCGCATTCCATCGGACCCTAGTAGGGATCGAACCAGCAACTCGACTGTTGCCAGTCCGTCGTTGAGACCACTGAGCTACGGCGGACGACAACGACTATCATAAATAAGTTACTAGATGTGTTAGAGTACTGGATGCCCAGATCTCTTATGCTCTTATGGCAGGGGATGGGCTTACCACCAAGGTAAAGTGCATTCGGCGAAAGTTGGCGCTTGAATGTTAACACACTGCACTTGTCAGCTGAGAAAGACATTTGCCAGTCAGTGCACCAAGATTCCAAAGCCAGTAGGTCTATGCGAACGTTTGCCGTCAGTCTTCACAACTTTATAAGAAACGCTCTGAACGGTCCATCGGTTTAGTTAATTAAACTTATCATCTGTTGATTGCATTATCCACGAAATTACCGTATGCAGTGTTATAACCCTGGTGGTTTACCAAGACTTCAGCCAATAATGGAGATCGCGTGATACGAGATTCATGCATAAGGAATGAGTTTACAACGCTGCCATGTTACCCTGTAGTTCAACAACCATAATAGACCACTGATACCTGCTTAATGTTGCTCACATATTGCGGAAGAGTCGGGTAAGGCTGCCATTCGTAATAGAAGAGACACACCGGAATATTGGATACACTGGGCAGAGATTTCCGACATACCGAAGATAGCGTCGGCATCTGATAGGATGACGGTAGCTGAGTGGGACTACCCAAAATGCTGAGTTTCGGGCACAGGTTGTCAACCTAATGCTTCTGCTCAAATTCTCCTCACCGTGGCTTCCACTTCAGAGCATACCCTTGATGGCAGTGGGTTCAAATCTGACCGTAGCTGTTAACATTGGAACGTTATTGTGCACTAGTCTTTGCGGATTAATTGTGTCTACAGTATGATTTTACCCTTTGTTTAACTGAATCAATGCCATAGTTACCAACATTGTCACACTCGGTTGAGGATTTGAGTTACCTTCTGTAGCATATCACTAAGCGTTTGGCTGCCGACAAACTCTTTGCCTTTTTCTGTTTTGGAGCAACTGGCACACAAATTCCGAATCGACCACTTAAGGCAACAGAAGGCCGAGGATTTCACGGACAGCTAGTATTGTTTGACTCACTCCTTCTTCCCTCGGTTTCCCCTGACGTGACCTTGAATCTAACCTGACTACTCGCTGTCTCCCGTGAGCGACTTTCTCTGTTCTTCTTCTGGGTGACGACGTGTGTTCCCTCTGCTTCTGTTGCTGTTACTTTCTTCTTAACTGTTCCTTCTTCCCACCAGCACCGTGAAATAAAACTTCTACTGGTTATTGGTTCTCATTTGCGTGTGAAATCACACTTCCATCTCGACGTCTATTACATATCTGGCGACCCTACCACTTCACGACAGTAGTCCACCGAGCTAGATTGTCGCCGTTGAGGCAATAGTTAACTTTCTACTATTATGCTGCTTGTCGTTGAATCTCCCAAGCCTACCGTACCGCGTTCAATGCCTCTTGCAGGTACAAAAGTTGATACTGGTGTGTGCCATTATGGACCCTGAGGACAGCGCCTGCCAAGAAGGGGATAATGGAGCTGGTCCGCAGCGTCACGGTAACTCATCAACAGGTAAGAGGTCGATCGGTTTCGCTTCCTGTTATCCTTACCTTCCTATTCCACTCCGGCACTTCCCTTCCATCTTCCGTGCTTCCTTACCTGCCATCTTTACATCGGCCTCTTACTAGGCGGCTCGAGCGTACAGCTGTCTACGAGGTATTTATCTTGCCTTACAGCTTGCAGCACTACTTGGACACGCAAGACCTTGGTAGGCCGGACTGGAAGAATACTACACTTTAAGACAATGGGCGAAATCGCTTCTTGTTGAGTTCGGACACAAGACCAGAAAAACTTTCAAAATACTTAGCAATAAAGCTTTCATAGAAATGAAAAAGCATCGTGATG